TTGATCATGGGCTGGCCCGGTGGCGCACTCGGTAGAGTGCAGTGCTTGGGAGTGCGGTGGCACTCCCGCTGAGGGTTCGGATCCCATATAGAGACCCGTCCGCTCACTGGTTGAGCGAGGTGCGGGCGTGACACTGAGGGTTGCGATCCAATTGCTGTTCGCGGTACGGGCGCGACACCGAGGGTTGAGATCCCGTTACCGGTCATGAAAAAAGACAAAAGGGAAAAAAAAAATCATTTGATCATATGTGTGTGAGTTTATGGGCTCTCTATTCTATTCCATTGGTCCGCATGTCTGTCTTTATGCCAGTACCACACTGTTTACTGTACCTTTGTAGTAAGTTTTGAAATTGGTTAGTATGAAATCTCCAACTTTGCACTGTAGCAGTGCGCCACCGGGCTGGCCCATATATTTATAATGTACAACATGATGTTTTGAAATATGTATATATTGTGGAATGGCTAAATCAAGCTAATTGACTTATGTATTGTCTCACGTACTTATTTTTTTGTGGTGAGAATATTAAGAATCTAGTCTCTTACAATTTTGAGGACTACAATACATTTTTATTAACTATAGTTGCCTTGTTGTACAATAGATCTCTTGAACTTTTTCCTCCTGTCTAAATGAAATTTTGTGCCTTTAAATCAACATATCCTAATCCCTCCCCCTGTCTCTGGTAACCAACATTCTACTCTCTATTTCTATAAGTTCAACTTTTTTAGATTCTGCATATATGTGAAATCATGTGGTATTCATCTTAATGTGCCTAACTTATTTCACTTAACAGAATGTCCTCAAGGTTCACCTATGTTGTTGCAAATGACAAGATTTTCTTCTTTTTTGAGGCTAAATAATATTCCATTGTGTATATATATATATATATATATATATACCACATTTTCTTTGTTCACTCATTCATTGATGGAGACTTAGGTTGATTCCATATCTTGGCTATTGTGAATAATACTGCAGTAAACATGGGAGTGCAGATATCTCTTTGATATACTGATTTCATTTCCCTTGGATATATACCCGGCAGTGGGATTGCTGAATCATATGGTAGTTCTACTTTTAATTTTTGAGGAAGCTCCA